ACCTCGTGTAGGTCGTTACGGAGACCATCGGTACCGGATACAGCGTCGACACTCGAGTCCGGATAGCGGGGCTACGGGGTGTGTACAACCGAAAGCTGGATGGATCGCAGAGCAGAGTAGTGTGCTAGAGAGGCCGGTCTTATTCAGGGGGACGTTTCGACGAGCGGGAAGTGCTAGGTCCCGGTGAGACTGCTGTTCGATGGTCCTCGCTTGGGGTCGGAAGCCAAGGATGAGCGCTTGAGCAGCCATTGTAGCAGTAGTAGGAGATCTGTAGTGGTAGCTGCGGTATCGGACAAGTTCGCTTTCTAGTAGGCGTAATACGACATGCGCCCCGATGGCCGGCGCTGCTTCTATAGGACCAGCACGTGCGGGCACTCGACACATCCACAGCCACTTCACTCCGTGGCAACTATGTTCTGAGACAATATACTTGCACGCCCTATACAAATACAGGAAGAGAAGGGCTAAGCTTGGTATAGGTTCTTGGCATAAAACCAGGGATACGAAGGAACATCTCAGTTTACCTATGCCCCAATATGTACGAAATTGACCCATCGCTCCAGACTAACCTTCTTGCGACGCAGCTCCTTCGTAGCAAAACACAGCGCTCGCGCAGCCCTCTTAAAGCCGATCTCTGACGAATGCGCCAAGCTTCCTTCACCTTGCTCTGCAAACATCGCACGGTAGAAGAAACTGGCAAACGTCGGCCCATCTTCATCGCTCATTTGCCACATCGTCCCAACCACACTTCGAAAACCAGAGAACTGCATCGCAGCCGCCAGATGAAGAACTTCGTCTGTCGCGCTGTCTTGTGTCTGTTCAGCGGAGTGGCATGCCGACAAGATGGCTAGTTCCGCATTATGCAGGCCGGCTTTGACGATATCGAGCAGAGTGAGCCGTTCGCCTCCTGAGAGGATGAGAGCCGAGTTGAATGGCTCTCTCGCTTCGAGCGTCCCGTGGCAGGCAAAATGTACCCATGGCCGCTCTGCAAGACCAGCAACTACCGCCTCGCGGGTGCATCCGCCTCCAATCGCGAGCCTCAGCCTGTCCTCCGTGAAGCATGCGCGAAGGACCTCCACTTCATCAGTCACCGCTTCCAGCGATTTATCGAGCAGAGCAACACCAAGGAGGCCTTTACGTTGTACCAAACCACCATTGCCAGCTGCCCGGGCGTCGATAAGCGCAGCGAGTGTTGGAGTGTAGGATGAGATGTATAGGTCCGGGAGGTACACCTTGGATTTAGACGATTTTGACTCTGCCATCTTGAGCGGGCCTGCGGCGTGCAGCGGGAGCGCTGACACTACGGAGGTCGGGCACCACCAGATTCGCGACCCTTCCCCTGACTCCTAGCTCCCTCAGCTTCTCCACAACAGGTTCGACGACAAGTTCGCCAAGAGCTCTGAGCGTGAGGCGCAGGACTTGGTCATACTCTTTCTGGTTAGAGTGCTTTAAGACCTGACGCGCGTCGAGTAACCTCCCTGCCAACTCGATGGCACGCTCGTAGAAGGCATCGGATAGCTGTACGCAGCTGAGGTTGTCGCCAGGACCGAGAATGAGAGCGTCTGAACGGAGCAGGGAGTGGTTGACAATGATGACCGGGCCCTCCGCTGAAACCGCCATGAGTTTATCGTAGGAGGACGGCCTGAGAAAGTCTGGAAGTTTTGCGCGGATCTGCTCGACGACCTTGTCCAATTCGGTAGACAGGCGGCGTTTCGCTTCTAGCATGGTGCCATAAGGATCATCGACTTCTGTGATCGAACTTGACAAGAATGGGTTCGATGAAGTGCTGAGTGCCTCCAGTGCACGACCTTTTTGCAGGAAAGTGTCTCGAAGAGGTCCCAAGCTCTCATCTGCGGCTACTGCTTTGTCAAGGGGTACGCGAAGACGGCGGACTTGAGACCAGAGTAAAGCCCTGTATTGCTCCAACATCTCGACAGCATGTTTGAGATCCCCCTGGTTGATTGCGTATGCCACGGCATCCAAAGGGACAAGTTCCCATTTTCGAACCATCTCGTGCTGCATTTCCAGTGTTGGGGCGATCGCGAGATTTCGCTCCTGCAGCTCAAAGCACAAGCGGTAAGCCTCAGTTGTTGAAGGATGGCTTAATGCGTATGCCGCATCTGCCCAAAGTGCTGCGCATACAAGCTGTCGTTCATAGTCGACGATTGGTACGAGCAGAGCACTAGGTTTACGTTTGTAAGTAGAATTCCCCAGTTATATTGCAAGACGCCATACCCCTCTCTGGCAAACCGAATTGAATTGATACAATCTCTTATATTTTCGGTGCTGGAATACCTCAAAAATAGAGAGGTTGCAAGAGCTGCTAATAACGTTAGACGTTGCGGATGACCAAGCCATTCCGGTGGGCAGAGCGACAGCGTCTTGTATCCCAAATCAATGCACTCGTCGATGTCCTCCGATTTATGAAGCGCACGATATCGCTTGATCAGAGCAAGGGTCAGGTCAGTAGTTACAGCCAGGTGTTTAAAAGACTGGGGTGGATATTTGGATACAGCTTCCTGGATGTATTCGATAGCTTTCTCCAAATCCTCAAGCTTGCCAGTTTGGCTATGTTGTTCCGAGTAAAGCCGACCAAGGCTGAAAATTAATGGCAAGCGATCGGCATCTTGTTCAGTTGTGCAATGACGTAGCGCTTCTTGCCCATACAATATACACTCCTCGAAGGCGTCTGGGTCCTTGGTACGCTCAAAGAGCCGGCAAAGGCTTCCCGACAGGCCGGTCAACAACTCGAGTCGTCGAGGAGACTCAGGAGTCAGATCCAGAGACAGCGCCTCGCGTAGGAAAGAGATGGAGCTAGTCAAGTCCCCTAACTGTCCCATATGGCTGTAACGTCTTCCCAAGGATCGCGACAAGAACAGTAAAGCGGATTGGCGGATTTGTCCTGTCGGATGCAGCAAGAGGGCATTGTAACCACATTGGATGCTCTCTTGGAGGTCGTCCGGCTGACCAGCCCGATCGAAGCGAAGCCCCAGAGATTCCGCGAGCTCAATCATAAAAATGAGACGAAGGTTGGGGTTGGACATTTGGGGTGCCGTCTGGAGGATTTGTCGAAGGCGAATGATTGCATCGTCAAGGTCTTCTAATTGGCCGTGGGTAGAGAACCGGGTTCTGAGAGCAGTTGCCAGAGCGTATGCGATTTCTGTGCGCTGGTCTTGAGGACAAGACGCAAGCGCTTCGTAGCCGTAGTCGATGCTCCTCTGGATATCCACGGTATTCCTCTTTATATCATAGCGGTCGCGCAGAGCGGACGCCAGTCTTGCCATCAGGGTATACCGACCCACAAACTCCGGCCTGTAGCAGGACAGAGCTTCATGAGAATACTCAATGGACTTGTCTAGGTCGTACAGATTTCTGCTTGTGTCGAAGCGTTCGCGTAATCCCCCTGCCAAAAGAGCCAGGATAGGCCCACGCTCAGGCTGTGCAGGGGGATAGAAGGGAAGGGCCTGCTGAAAAATGTGGATAGCCCTCTCTATATCATCTATCTTCTTCGTCCGGTCCTTTCGTTCGGTGGAAAAAAATACCAGTTTTTCAACGAGTTGTATACGAAGGGGAGATTTGGGTGGACAGCGGGCAAAAGCATCTTGAAGGTATGTGATAGATTTCATCTCATCCTCCGGATCTCGTGTCTGCTTAAAACGACGACTGAAAGCTTCCCCAAGCTGGGCTAGTATTGTGTGATAACGAGGGTGTGTAGATGAGCAAAGTGACAGAGCGGCATAGGCGGTATCTATGCATTGGGTGAGATCGTGTGAGTCTTCGTCTCTGGTGTACTGATT